GGAACTCCAACAATGATCACACAGAACACCAAATTGATTGCAATTTGATTTTTATATCCTGGACTTCAACTAGTGAAGATTGTATGGTTTACAATGGGACAATGGGAAATAGCGAACGGGGTTCTGACTGGATTTTTGTGGGTGTATGATTTAATGTGTATTCAAGGAACCGTTAGAACAAGTGAAAACTACAAATTATCATAGTTACAGTTTCGGACCTATAAGAAACAAAAAGGACCCTGACAAAAGCATTACTACAAATTCGGAATACAAGGATCTTAAACACACCTGAGTAGAGATAGCTATTGACATGCCAAACAAGAGCTGTCTGTCTTTGAGCGGTCTCTCCTCCCATCTTATAATTGAATAACAAAAGATAATCATAAAAATATTGGCCACTTCACCGGAAGGAAGAAATTCTTCAATCCACATTAATTTAGAAATGATGTGAAATCATTTGATCGTTCTTCACTAACATATATTGGTTGTTATACTTGATTTGAAAATTAGGGTAATGAACAGTCATTTGCCTAGTTAAACCTAAATCACTAGAGCTCCCAGAGAGCACGCTGTCTAGCCAAAGTCGACGATTCTGTTTTAAAATAATCCTTGACCCTCTCTAAATAGCCGTTTCTTTTATTTGGAAGCTGGATTTGGTCCTCAGAGATCGGACCATCTCAATCGTAAAACGTATCCTCCAAGAATATGACGTTTGCGTTTATGAAGCTACCCATGAATGGTTTTGCGGTCCCTAGAGAGTACCACACTGTCCCAACCACGGGAACATTTCGTCTCTAAAGGGGGTGCGTCGAAGACATTTCCATTCGTTGCCAGACCTTTCAGCAGTCGAAAAATCTCATTTATCAATTTTGGTTTGGCCATCAGTCCCGCTAACTAAAGATGTGCTTGCAGTAGATGGTTATTGGAGCGTTACCTGGAAAACAAACAAAATCTTGATAGCATACTTTTCGGACACTCAAGCGCTTGTACACGCATGCACGAGCAGTTAACGGAATTTATCCTAAACTCCGGGTCTATTCAAGTTTAACTACTTACACCGTTGCTTTTCAGTTATGAAATCTAGTGGGTGGTGAGAATGCAGGCAACTAATATTATGAAGTTCCACTCAGTTCCTTTGCTTGGAATTTGCAGATTACACCATCGCCTCTGGGGCACCCCTGAAACCAGTGAACCGTTCATTGACCGCTTCACCGGTTGTATCATAACCATTCCATATTTAAAGCTAAATTCTTCTTCTCCCGTGAAACCTATCCGGATCGATGTCCGACTAAGCGAGAATTGGTGAAAACAATCAAATGGGGTTGCTGGGTAATATAATGGAGTGTTGAGAACAAAGGAAGGATAACATTGCCACTCCATTGTACACGCAAAATCCTTCTGCAACTGTCAAAAACACCCTGTATTAGCATTGAGAATATTCAGCGCATTAAGGTACAAGTCATCCCAGTTGCTTTTCTTTATGTGACTGTGAGACCTGATCATTACGTGGAACTGGGAAACGCTCAATAGCTGGTGCCCGCGATACATCTTGAAATCACAGTGGTAAGAAAGAGGTTCCAGTGAAGAGTTTCAACGACGCTGAAACAACGTAGATCGAATGTATTCTGTTCTAGTCTCTCCACTTCCAGTAGTTCGGCCATGTTCTCTGATGAAAGGTAANAAACAGTGCCCTCTGTTAATAACACGTAGAGATTGGAGCTGTTTTTGGATGGATTTATGCTATTGTACGGTGAACCATATGTGCTGTTGAGGAAGGGAAAACATCAAACCATTAGGGCATGCACAAATTCTTCAATGGATTTAAGGTGACACTACAAGATTAAAAGAAAGTACATTTTCTAGGCTTCATTAGTTGAGTAAACGTGTCTTACTTGATAGTCGAATCAACATGCGATTGAAGTGGATATTTTAAAACAAAAACGAATTTCAAGTTAGAAAAAGGTTATACAAAGTCGATAACTGGCAGCAGGATGAGTGGATCAATGAGAATTAGGCATGAAATTATCCCGGGTACTGGATGTCGTTAATAAAAGTATAGGGGCATCTCAATGGATAACAGTCATCTCCCCGATCACTCACAGAATTTGTTACTTGACTGATTTGGATAATTTTCCTTTGCTCTTCGAATGTGAACTGACAGCCTCGTCCAAATTAATTGTGTGATTGAACTTGATCAAGCGGCCAGAAACCACCGGTGTTCGGACATTAGTCAATCATTGATTTGACCGAATTAAGTGGTAAACTTTCATGAAATCAGATAGAAACCTCCCCGGTCACACGCAAGTGAAATAGGATAAAACCCGCGGATAATTTGCCTTCTGCTCTTATAATGCTAAACGGGTAGGAAATACTCACACCTGATTAATTATGGAATTCTTCCACTAGACGTATTCTATTAATCCATATCTCTGAATGGAATGAACGTATTCACGGGTTCCGACATCACTGTTTTGTACACCTGCTTCGATCGACTTGTTATCACACTGGTATCAATGAAATTCTCCAGGTGTTCGATTGCCCAACCAAACAACATTTTTTCGCTTCACTTTATCTCGCAGTTAACTGATCATCCTTTAAAGTATACCCAGAAACCAGGGATGGTACAGCTAACTGTGTACCCAAGGATTTGGATTCTGTCATGTCATCCTTAGTGTACGCCTAACTTGAGGAACAGATGATTGTACGTGAGGATGAATTTCTACGGATGGTGGATCAAAATCAGCAGCATTTCTGTTTTCACTTGCGTTCCCAGAATTTCGATTCGTACCCTACTTGATTTAGCAGCAGATAAGATTTATTGGGATGAAGCTTCTTTTATGTTATGTGCAATAATTCCTCTATATGGAATTCTTCCACTTACGGGTTTCAAAAAAAACACCTATAAAGAAGCAATTCGTAGATCACTCTTCTTTTGTGAACTCATTATTCTAATAGAATTCTGCTTACGTTCTAAGCAGATTATTTACATTCGTGTCAGCATTCTACAATCACGTGATGCTATTCAAGAAATTGGCCCCCCCCCAAAACGAACCGATTTTGTTGTATGCATTCCAACTGTTGGAGAAGCCAATTGAAAGCACAACTTCTGTTGTGCAACAGAATTGTATGTTCCGGTTAGATGGCTTTCTAGTCAAAGGTAATCGGTGTACTTCAGCTTTTATATTCGTTGAGCTAGTCGACGGATGTAGGGACTCAATGATTTACCAGACTCAGTACATTGATATCTTAGATGGCATAGAATGTTTGCGTTTATGTGACTCAACAACTCGAGGGACACAAGCAGAAAGTGTGCTAGTGCATTAACTAGCACATTTCATGACGATAATATCACAAGGGAAAATATTCCTGACAACTGGAGACTGACCATCTGTTCCTCAACCAGAACCCCTTTCATCGAATTCAGATTGATCATTTTCGAATTGTTTTTGTGAGTTTTGCTGTACTAGTTGATCACCGAATCTGCCGAAGGTCACACATCAATCTGCTAGTTTCTCTTCGAGCTCCATACCTGATGCCCGTTGCTTATCTTGCTCACTCAACCATATTTTCCGTACTGAACACAAAATGTAGAATCATCGGAATAATGAATTTGGTTCATGAAAACGCCTTCGGTATTCCTATTCTATCAGTGTTCATCAATTTATTGACCAACAATGAAGATAGTTTGAGTGTTTACAGATTAATCGGTGAGTTCTTCATAGATCGAAAGCATTTCTTTTGTTGCAACGGTAAGAAATCTTCTGCTCAGGCAGTTACCTCTGATACGTTTTGACGTGCACCCACTATCTATTCTTTTGTTTCTCCGAGTGTTGGATCACCCTCTCTATCCTTCCCGCATATAGTCTTTACCAAAAACCAAGACACGCTCTTTCAAGATATGAAGTATCTATTCCTTCTGAACTGGCTTTGGAAATTTGAAGCAAACCAAATGATATGAACTGATCCTTATCCCGTTTCCCTCCATGAAATACCTCAGAATGTATTGTGTCTTCGGTTGAATGATTAGCTATACAAAACCCGTCATGAAGGGTGTAACCTCCCCTTTCAATTTTTCTTCTAGTTCATTCACTGTCAAGGGTTATTACGTAAAGTTAGAAATCTTTCATATTAGTTCCGTCGATGAAGTCCATTTTGTTTCCGGAATTCAACTGTTAAATTCGCCTCCGCCTCACCGCTTATTTTCTTTAACCTATTGAAACAGTCTTCCTTTGGAATGCAAAATACTCTAAGTTTATCTCTTAATGTTGTGGCATAACCAGAGATATATTTGTAGACTATTCCTGCCAGGCAAAACATTTTGAAAGGTGTCTTTTTAAACTACCCTCAGATACGTACCACCTAATACAAAATAAAAATCTTAAAGCGATATCTACCTCCCTAACGCGCTCATGATTCAAACTTTCATGTGCTCCTTCTGATGAATGACTCAACATATATTTTGCTGTATTTCTCCCTCTGACTACCGACATGTTAATATTTGCCACATATTAATGTAGTTGCCCGCTTAGTAAAAAAAACTAAATGATCTATATTAATTTTGTTCCGTCCGTTTTGGTAACTTTTATGTCCGTGTGTATGGCAGTTAAAGGGACAAATCCATCCACGCAGCCATCAATGATTTATCATAACATAACATTTACTCCAAATGGATAAAAGCTGGTTGGCGTTCGTTTAAGGCCTACGTGGATGGAAAACGATCCTGGTTGTGGATCAGATCTCCAAATATACTCCCGTTATCTGGGTGAAAAGCGGTTGAGCTCCAGTCTAATTAAGAAAACACTNCACTGCAAATAGCAATGAATCCTTTTTCAACCAGATTGCCATACTGATAGCAAAAAGTAACGGATCCGCTCAATTTTTATTCTTGCGGTTAGAATTTTATACTTTCGGAGCCGAGCACAATGGTTGAAATGTAAATTTATCTTACCTTTATTGTGTTAATTATTCGTTTACTTAAGTTTGTTCTACCGCACCCGCAGGATATTCTGCGCTGTCGAGTTCTTACCTCGGGGATTTTCGAGACACGGTTCTGCGTGGACAAAGTTCAGTTTCACATGTTTGACGTGGGCGGTNATGTGACAGCGATCATTTTTGTCACCGCTTGTTCCTCCTACAATATGGTTCTGCGTGAAGATCCCAGTCAGAATCGGTTACGAGAGTCTCTCGAACTGTTCAAGTCTATTTGGTGCAATCGGTGAGTGTGGTTCAAAACAACTGCATATTACAGTAGATGTGATTAAACTCGTCCGTGATTTTGTTTCCAGCATCTCAATGAACTGTGTGCAAACGATAAACCTCAATTACACATGAGTACTTCAGTACAAAGACAAGGTTTATAAACCTTATAAATCTTATAAATATTAGTGACTGGCCGTTGAGAACTCATGGGCTGTTTGTGACTGCTGATCTGGATGTCAATGTAGTGCAGATATTACATCACTGTGGATGCAATTTAGCTATACAAAAGAACATACGTGAAAGGCGAATAAACGTGATGGCCATAGACGAACCAACTAAAATATCCAGCATTTTCAATTATATGCTGCCGACAATACAACTATTACTCCTGACTTTTTTCGTTAATATTGCTCATGATGGAAGTCAATCAGTTTAAGCCGTTTTCGCTTAAGTGATGCAAACTCAAGTCCGGGATTTTAATCCCGCCGTCAGTTGGTGGTATTGAGCTCCGATGCCATCCATCCTAACAACACTTCCATCTACTGTAAAACCTCCTCAGTACATGACAGATCTCAGCGACTAACTGAACAATGGGTTTTTATGTCTATGGGATTTACACACTCTAATCTTGATCGCACAGCGGAATTTAGTTTTCTTGTCATGCTTGCTGTTCACGAAGTACACCCATTATTCTGTCACGGAAATCAGGAGGTGGCAGAAACATGATTTTTCTGTACCTCTCATCAAAACATTATAGTGCACAGTGAAACAGGTTATCACAATCTAGCGTAATTATCCGTATTCTGGGTCATTGTGATGGTTGGTCTGGTGGATGGGTGTCTGGTTGGAACAATTAGGGATGCGTCAGACCAGTGGCTGTTCTACGGTTTCACGAACCTCAGGCCATGAGAGC